AGTACTGAATTTTGTACCTTGGGAAATACTTGGTGAAATAAGTACTCTGAGCTGACAAAGAATTCTTGCTCTGCTTGCAGTTATGCCATATAACAGTGCCCATCACTGCGTTGTGGAAGTGGAAAACTTCTTGTTCGTGCTGGGAGGAGAAGACCAATGGAACCCTAATGGTATGTATAGAATACTAAAAGGAAAAGGCAGCATCTGCCTTCCTGTGTCAGTCTGTGTGTCAGGTCAGCTGATGTAGTCATTAGCAAGGGATTTTGAGGACTCTCAGTCTAAATGTTGAACCCAGTAAAGGCTACTTTTAGATATTGATGTAATAAATATCAGGTACTTCAGCATTAGCATCTCCGTTATTCATCAGCTCCCACATCCCTTGAGAAATGCCACAGGCAGCAGAACAGACTCTTTCAAGTGTATGCACCAGGCAGCAGCTGTTAAGAATTTTAACCTTCATTTCCAGTCTCCTTCCAGTCATAATACAATAATGCAATTGCAGTAGATGAATGCTTCTTTTCTATTGTCAAACAAGATACTTGCAGCTCAAGTTGTTAATGTGTTAATTATCTAGACTCTAAGATTCTTAAACTGGTCCTTTTCTCAGCCTTGTGCAAGAGCTTCTCATATAGATTATCTGCTGCTACCTTCTTTGATTTGATTACTTCATAAATTTACCGCAAAGAGAAATTAAACAATTTAACAGGCTTCTGAGCAAAGCAAAAGGAGAATACCATGCCTTGAAAAATTCACAAAATTGTCAAGACATTGTTAAAAAGCTTGCACACGAAGAAAGAGTTCTAGTTGTAGCAGTCTGTGTAACAGAGATAATTATGACTGAGAAACCATAAAACAGCTTGCAGGTACACATTTTTACTTTAAAACACCAGAGGATCCAGCTGAAATTACATATACTGCATATATTTTATTGTGAATGCCCCATTTCAGCATCTGCACTAAACCAAATTATAGAAAATTGTTACATCTGTTCGCTTCCTAAAACCTGAGACAAACAATCCAGTCCACCCTGTAAGCATGTTTCCAGTGTAGTTAAGAATATCACTAAACAACTTAGGAGGAGAGCCCTTTAATTCTATTGTTAAATCTCCTTTGTATTAAACAGGAGACAGTGTGGTATCATTAAGGACAATTATTTTTAGGATCGTTGGCCACATCCAACCACTGAGGGTCCCTGTTGTGCTTGATGGTAGGCATATGGATAGTAAGAGGCAGACCTTGTTCCAGACAGTTTATAATTAAATGACCATGTCACATGAAGGGTAAAGGAAAAGTAGAATTGCTCACATTTTAAAGATGCCACAAGGTGATGGCAGGATGTTAGAAGGGGTACATGTCCTGTGTCTGAGATAGGAGTCAAGCACAATTGTTTGTGAGATGAATTGTACCTTAGGCCTAAGATTGCCTAGATCAACTCTTGAGCTGAAGAGGTTGCTGAAGACATCTAACAACTTTCTTGTTCTGTGAAAATCAGCGCTGGGAATTTTTCTGTAGAGAAGATAGCAATAGAAGGGGTAGGATCATTGCTCTACTGATCTCTTAATGAATTTAGCTGGAGAGAAATGGATCTTACTTGTCACAAGAAGTGGACCTGAAATCATAAACTACATCCTGTGCTACTGCTGGGCTAGCTCTTTCTTGGACCACTTTCCTCTAAATGTGCATCTACAGGGGAACAGCTTGCATGTAGCCACTTGAATTTATGTAAAGGTCCTTGTCTGCTGTCCTCATAGCACAGAAGGGGCTTCAGATGGACCTAGATGGAACTGTCTTGCTAAGGCATTACAAGGCCTTTGCTTTGAATGAGAATGTTCTAGGTGTTTTTTCCAGTGTAAAGAATTATCCTTGAGATGGTAGCAATTGAAAGAGCACCATGCATTGCTGTAGCCATCATACTGCCTGATTCTTGAGGCTGTGTGTGCTCCAGGGAGTGCTCATGTCTCATATGTGCTCCTGGACTTCTGACAACGCAGAAAGCATAGGAGACATTTTTCTCAGTTTTTCACATCCTCCTATGGCTATGCCTTTCCAGTCACAAGGGATACCTGCATGAGTATAAACGCTGATGAAAGCAGGGTGCAGAAAATAGGCATGGATTTAAGACCAACCTTCATAACCTTCAGAGCACTTCACCTTTTAGCAAGGCTGCAGAGACCTTCCTGTAGAGAGTGGAGCAGAGTATCTAGCTCCTTTTGTCCCATTGTTCTGATCTGCTAATCCAGATTTCTGATGACCTGTCACAGGTTCTGTGTTGTGACAGGTGCTTCCTAACATGTGTAACCTCCTGACTTTTGAGCAAGGCAAAAAAAATAGATACAATTCTCTTTCAAACTGAAGTCCAGAATTAAACTGGAGTAAAATCAGTTACACCAGGCAGCTTAAGCAGTTCATCAAGGCCTTTTCCTGCCATCACAAGCATCATATAGTCCCATTTTGTAAATTTTCTAAGCTACGTTTGAAAAGCAGTTGGATTTTCAGCCCCCACTACTCCTGTTGGAAAGCTTTTCCTGTTGGAAAGGTTACAGAATCCAATTGCTTTAAATGACTAGGAGCCTTATTCTAATGTCCAGTAAAATGTATTCTTTGATTGTCTAAATCACCTTGTTCTCATGCCAAAGCTGGCCTTTAGCTTAATGGTTTTTCCCTTTCTGGAGATCTGTTCCTCTGAGGTATTACAGACAGCCCTCCTATCCCCTTTCAGCTTTTGTTTTCCTAGGTGCAACAGGCCAAGTTCTTTGTCTCCTAACATAAGGTAAACTTTCTGTTCCCCCTGTCTACCATTGTAGCTCTTCTCTGTGCCTGTTCAAGTGATTTCATCTCACTTCCTGTGAAACTAACAGATTTGGATCCTCTATTCCCACTCTAGGCTGACTAAACCCTTCTCTTTCTTCCCTGTGCTATACAATGTTCTACATATGTGATATTTGTAGTCAATATGCATATGACATATTACATTAGGCGGCCAAGGTCCCAAAATCATAGATTTGTACGACAACAATGAAAAAGCTGTTGTATAACGAATGACCACTGAAGTCTGCAGGAACTCGGAAAGATGTGATGAATATGGCAGCATTAAAACCTCCTACTAGAAGTCCAAACTTACAATCAATACTTGCAGTATTTTGAAATCCTGCCTTTTGAAATACAAATAGATTAATAAATATCCTGAACAGTGAAACCTGGAGCCAGTTAGATGCCTGATGTTGCTGTTTTACTGCTTATTGAAGCAATCGCTCTCAATGCCTCTTTTTCTACATTGTCTGTATAGACTAAAGGAATTCAGATAGGGACTAAGAGCAAAGCCTCACCTCACTAAACCCAGCAGCAGAATGACCAGTTGCCTTAGAGTATGGGGATCTCACCCTATGTCTTGAGACGTGTTTGAGGGGTGCTCAGCATAGTCCTCATTAGGCACCACACTGGATTTGAAGGGAAATGCTGAATTACTCATCAGTCTTCTGCTTTACCCCTCTCACACAGAACATGCTTATAACATAGTGAGGTAATGAGTTTGATTCCAGAGTGGTCAGCATGGTTTCATTCTCTGCTTTCTTGTAGAACATGATCTTAAATTATTGCGGATACAAATTCTAGGTGTATTGTTACTCTTCTCTGCAGTCTTGATGGTCTAATTTACACATGCTGAACTAAGTGTGGAATGAAACAGGCAAAGCAAGCCAATCCTGCAGATGCTTTTCTGATGCAAAAATATTCACCTTGTAGAATACCCAGTGACCATTTATAGAACTGTGACATATGCAGCTGGGTTATTCTGATGGCCTGTGAAGCCTCTAATTCAATTTTTTAGTGACATATACATAAACAAAGGTTTCTGTTTCTGAAATGCTCATCTGTTGAAGTCTCAGGTGTTACAGGAAATTGCCATGCACTCTCTTGCTTCAGTTTTCTTGCTTTGATGTCAATCTGCATGTAAAATAAGGTGAAATCTTAATATCGTGAAGACATGAACACAGTTCTTGGCCATGACAGCAGGGAGAAGCTAGTTAGCTGGTGTATGTTGCTCATGTTTCATATTTTAGCTAACACACTTGTAGTAAAACTCTTAAGACTGTATTCCCCCTTCGATGCACATCTGTAATTCCTTCTAACTTACAGTGAAAGTACATGGTAGAATAAACCATCTAGTGCAAACACTGCATACCCCATGCTGATGGCTTATGCAGCTCCTGGTTATTTGCACAAGGGTTTTTTTGCCATGTTCTACATAGTGATGATGTGAGGAGAAAGAAAAGCACATGTTCTCCCTTTGATTTTTTTTGCCTGACACAAAATACTCTAGTCATAAAAATACCATGGGAATGCCCTCTTTTGGGCAGTAATTTTGTTTAGTGCTGTGATTTATTGTGGCTGTGAAAGTACCGCAGCATGTATACGTAAATGTAAATACACATTTTCAATATCTTATTACAGAGAGCAAGAATAATCTCTATATGCTTTTACTGCTAGCGGCTGCTAATTCAAACCTTTCAGTGCCCCATTTGTTGAATTATTACTGTACACATAGTGTAATCATACATTGTTGTAAAAGGGGGAACCCTTCATAAAAGCTGTCAACTTGTGAAGTATATGTAATATATATTACAATCATGATGTTAAATACATGAAACAAACACCTGAGTGTCAAAATAATCTATCTTTACAGGGAAACACAGTACAAACTTTGTTAGCCGATACGATCCCAGGTTTAACAGCTGGATACAACTTCCACCCATGCAAGAGAGGTAAAAACCTGCTATGTGTTTTTCAATTTCTGTTTTCTCATCCTAGAAGCAGCTGAGGTTTGGCTTGGTTCTGAGAGTAAAGAGGCCTTCAGAAGCACTGAAAACACAGATAAAACTGCAGCAAGCAGTTGTGTCCAATATGTCTCCTAATTTTTTAAAACTTTCCAAATTCAGAACTCCAGATGCCAAATCCTGCAGTGCTAACTCATGCAAAATAGCCATGGACTTTATGCAATTACTGGTTGCCTGAGTACGGTCTGAAGGATTTTTCTGAAGTCTCCATAGTGTCCTGTCATGTTCCCTGACTGAAGTGTTACGATGAGTTTGCAGTAAATAAGCAGTAATTATAGTCAGATATCTTACAGGGAGCCGAAACGTTCACATGTTGACTCCATCCTGTTTCACCACACCAGCCATGAAAAGCTTTCCTGAACATGTCTCCACTTGTCAGAGGACTCTTAATCCTAGGTGGTCTTTGAGTGAAGTTGCTGTCAGCTAATGCATATTAGAGTAGTGCATGTTTTAATCTTGCTGTGTACCAAAGAGCAGAGGTGCATGTGGACATGAGCAATGACCCGTAAAGATGACGTAAACTTAACTGTGGATCCCAATTCCTACCCTGTCAGGAAAAAAGTCCCCCAAATCTGAACTAAATAATGCATGTTTCATAGGAAGAATCTCAAAGGCAGAAGATCCAAAATTACAATGTGTCGTGGTTTAACCCCAGCAAGCAATCAAGCACCACGCAGCCTCTCACTCACACCCCCACCAGTGGGATGGAGGAGAGAATCAGACGAGTAAAACCTAGAAAACTTGTTGGCTGAGATAAAGACAGTTTAATAGAGAAAGCAAAAGCCATGCACACAAGCAAAGCAAAACATGGAATTAATTCCCTGCTTCCCATGGGCAGGCAGGTGTTCAGCCATCTCCAGGACAGCAGGGCCCCATCACACATAGTGGTTCCTTGGGAAGACAAACGCCATCACTCCAAACGTCCCCCTTTTCCCCCTTCTTCCTCTCACTTTATATACTGAGCATGATGTTATATGGTATGGCATATCCCTTTGGTCAACTTCAGTCACTTGTCCCAGCTGTGTTATTTCCCAAGTTCCCATGCATCCCCAACTTCCTTGCCAGCGTGGCACTACGGAAAGCAGAAAAGGCTTTGGCTCTGTGTAAGTTCTGCTCAGCAATAACACAAATATCTCCGTATTATCAACCCTGTGTTCAGCACAAATCCAAAACATAGCCCCATACTAGCCACTGTGAAGAAAGTTAACACTATGCCAGCCAAACCAGCACACAACATTGCATGAAAAAACATTCAGTGTCCTTGCTTCAGTTCAACACCCATCTTCTCATGGATCCCACGTACAAAAGATCTCACAATGTCTCCCTAAGATGCTTTCCTTATTCCATGTGCTGTCAGTATTATAGCTCTGGTTTTTTGTTGACAGTCCACTGTATTCAGGTGTCTGGCAGTCATAAATATATTTAATTCAGTGCAGCCTTGTGATTCAAGGTGTGTATTATAGGATGCATGGAAGTATGGCTGTCTTTTCAAATTTCCAGAGGTAAAATGTCAGTCTGCAGAACTTCTGAAGGACCGTTGTTTAGGATTCAGCTTGATGGACCTAAGTCCATATGCAAACCCATGTGTGATATTTTTCACCAAAAAATACTGCTTTGTACCAGTGCATGGAAAAGTGCAAGTAGAGCAGATCTGAGCAGGTAACCCTGTTGGAGCTGAGCACACTGATAAAATTAGCCATAAAAATAGAGATAAAAAAGAGTATCACAGTTCATTGTAGTCTCTGGCTTTATTAATAATGTCATCCTTTATTTTAAAAATCTTTACTAAAATTCCTTTTTCTTTTAGATGCTAATCGAGCTAGTCCAACAGTGGTGGCCCTGCTTCGAAGGCATCCAGCCTTCTCCCTCACTCTTGCCAGCACTGTGGAGTAACCTCAGAACTGTGACTGTTTATGTTAAAACAGAGGGACACCTCTTGCTCAGCTCCCCAGACTTAGGTGTTGTCACGGGAGAGACAGGAGGCAAACGTCACATTGTGCATCACCATGCAGGTCATCCTCAGTGAACCAGGAGACTGACTAGTGTTTGTATGGAGCCTGAAGCTCTTCAGTGGAGCCTAATCTCTGTCCTAATTAGACCCTCTGGGTATCAGCAAGCAAAATTCCTGGGGGCCATGTGTGCCTGTCTGTGCAGTTAGGTACATTTGGCTGACAAAGCTCAGAAGGCAGAAGTAGGTAGTTGTGGGTTGGAGAGAGGAGGCAGTAGGAGTTTTTCGACCTGCACATTGGCCAGTTGTGTTTCGCTAGAAAATCGTGAGGAACATGACTTGCCTTGTGCTCTGGCGGAAGCTACTGCCTTCAGCCAAGAGTCAGAAACTCAGCTGTGCATTGCAATTGCTTAGCAGCTGCCTGGTAATTGTAATGTATTAGCATCTCAGCTCCTTACAGTGTTATTTAAATGAATAGTCCACTCATAAATAGTTCCTTCTGCAAGGGGCTTTACTATGACAACATTAATTGTCATGCCTTTTGTTCTGGATACATAACTCATAGGTTTGCCCATTGCTTTTCTTTAAAGTTTCCTAAGCATTTGAGCTGTTGTTACAAAACAGGGATTTTCAAATCAGTTTCTAAAATGTTTTTGATGGTTTATTTGCTCTTCCCTAATGACTTCCTCAGAGTTGTTGCAGACTTCACAGGTAGGGGCTGGCGCATTTTTCAGAAAATCATACAAACAAGAGAGAGCTTTTATGCAATTTCTTTTCCCAGCTCCTTTAGTCAGATAAAGTTCCCATTAAAGTCAACAGGCTATTTTCCCCCCTAGGAGTACAGGGTCATGCCCTGTCTCTGCTGGCATAATGCAGGCACCATTGACAAGACAGACTGTTTAATGGGTTTTTGTGAGTCATTATGGTCCATCAAGTCAAAACCTACTTAGGAATTTTAGTCTGAGAATAATTGGCTGGATAGACTATAATAGCTCCTTTGAAATGACTGCCAGGTAAATGTGGGTCTCATTCACAGGCAGTATATTCTCAAGTCAAAAATCTATATGAAATATTTGATAAGTAAACTTTTATCTCCTATGCTAAAATCCATATCTGATTGATTTTACTGTATGAGCTATAAAGAAAGTCTAATCCCATTATGAAGTCAGTGTAGTCAGTGTATTTTCTTTAAAGCCAAGTTTTTTTGAAGAACATCTCAAAAATATATGCTTTTGAAAAGTATGCACTATTTTCAGGAATTTGTTGTTAGGAGAATCAGCAAATGACTCATAAGCTTTGGAAATACACATCTGCCTGATGATTCCATAACAACAGGATGCTTTTCGGAGAGCAGTTCAGTTAGACTAGGATGTCTGTCGAAGGAGCAGTCTTTGTAGCAGTTCTGTCTGGACTTGTGGTGTGAGCCTCAGCTGGACACCTCAGTCAGAACTGTTGCATCTTGCCAGCTCAGCACAGAGCTGTTCAAGGTATGCGGTACAAAATGACATTTAAAACATCTTGGGTTTTCTTCTATTGTGATTTAAAAGGTTTTGTTTAAAGACCAGCAAAAAGCCCAGGTTCTGAAGAAGCATAAGTGGAAATGAGAAGTGAGCAGGTCAGTGTATTGTCTGAGGCTGAGTGAACTGAGAAAAGAAGGCACAGAAAATGAAATAAAACAATTTCACATTTTATTTAGTCTTTGACATTAATAATAGTAATGTTAACCCCTATTAAGATTATTTGTTTTTTAAAAAGCAAAGCATACACTAAGTGACTCTGAAATCAGGTCCAGATATGTCGATGGTCAGTAATACACTGGTAATTTTAAACCTCACACTGGTGGGCGTATTTGGTGTTTCAGGGCATAAATTCAGCATCTGTGAAAATCAGAAAGAAAATCTTACCTTTTATGTGTGTATACTTGAAAGAATTTGGTTGGGTTGATGACTGAGTGAAGGGGTGTGAAGGAGAAGCATTTCAGAGACCAGTGAACATTGAATACTTGCAAGTCCTGAAGAAACTCACAAAATAATTGTCATCTTGTCCATATTCAGATCCTGAGGTGCATTCCAGTTATCTAATTAGAATGGATAGTGTCTTCCCAGTTTTGTGGGGAAAGTTGTCATGCAAAGATTGCTGTAATATAGTTTAATCTGAATCATATTTTACAGCAGTTTAAAAGTCATCACTTGACAGCATGCCCTTACACACTATATCATTGGAAAATTAAAAAAAAAAAACCCAAAAGCTTAAAATATTTGTGACAGGAGCTACTGAGTGAATGTTCACATCCAAGCAGAAGAGTGAAGTGTGCTGATGCTTTCATTTTTGCTCCTTATAGTGACACTGTGTGGATGAAATCAGGAGTACACATGCAGAGTAATGTCAGTGAAATCCTAGTTAAGAGAATAATACCTGCAAGTTGTACCTACCTTTGTTTATTAAACCTGAACTAAAAAGCAAACATGCTGGGAGCAGTTTGTTAATGGGTTCATCAGAGAAGGTGCACAGGGACAGATGAGTGGATGTGTGAGCACTGACAGGCACCCTGGGGGTCTGTGCCTTACAGCTGCTGGACACAGGAGAGTTGGACAATGTGTGCCTGCTCATGCAGGGTCTCTCATGTCTAACATGAGGTGACCTCTGCAGCTTTTCCTACTTTTGGGGCTGCTGTGGGCTGTCTTGCTTCTGGCCCATCACATAATTCTCAGAAAGCTTATAGGCACTTGATTGCCTGTAACACCTATACCCTCTGTCAAATTAGAGTCAAATCAGCCAGCAGGTTTTTGTTGAGGAGACAACAGTCAGGCAGACATGGGTATATGTACAGTGTAATCAAATAAGCTTTGTTTCCATAGAAAATCAGGCTAAAAACATAGATGCACAATTTGCTGCCCGACCATGCGGAGCAATATATGCCATCAGCTTCTATCTGCCCATTGACAGATAAATTAAATGGTCTTATTTAATTCATCACTTGAGAGCTGCAGGCACTTAGCAGTATTCCTGTCCTCCTATTTGCACGAGATTTTTTTCAGTAGTCTTGTCCTTGTGGTGGAGTTGCCACCCCACTCAGTAAGGGTTGCTGTCCCATACTGTCCAAATTGCCCACGTGCAGGCAAGGTGAAAGCAAGGAAGTAGACAGGAGGTGCTCAGTGGCCCTGGCTGGTGAGGATCCCTGTCAGATGTGCACCAAATCCAAAAGGTAAAGCCAGAAACAGGCAGCATTGCATCAGATCTGCTCCCTGAATGCCCAGGCAGCTCTGCTGTTTCCGTGGCTGTATCTTGGTGTCTGCCTGACAGAGCTGTAAACCGCCTTCCAAGTTGTAAACCACCAGCCAGTCTCAGACACTTTTAACAAAGAGGAAATTTCTCCAAAACGTTGAAGGATGCTACAAATCTTGTGAAAATAAGTGGCTGGGTTAAGGAGACAGATCTTATTCCTTGCCTTCACTGAAGCAAATGCTCCTGAATTTGTGTCTGGCTAGATGGCAGGTTAGAGACAGGGCACACCAGACTTTGCTAACTTACCTGTCTGGTCATGGGATGACTACCAGGAAGCCTGGGGAGGAGTTGGAACATACCAAAGCTTGAGGTGGTTGTGCTCTGTACGTGGACATCTGTTCATCTCAAAAGCTTTGCAGCGGTCTTCAGGTTCAAATTCCTGATGGTGCTGGTGACCATCAAGCCCCCAAGATTTGCTGCACTATTCAGGAGTCTAATATGCCACTGTTCCCAGATTCAAATTCAGGTCCCTGGGCAGGAGCCAGAGCACACTGTATCTGCCATGGAGCAAGATTTGGCCAGCTGCAGCCACACTCCAGCTTTGCAGGAGCTGTCAGAGCTATACCTTGCCGTGCCTGCTTGTCTCTGGGCTTCCATATTGCTCTGATTTCACCCAGGATAAAATTTTATGCTGGGGACTGACAATTCTTGTCATTCAGTGTTTTGTACAGTTCTTCATCCTAGCTCAGCTGTGCTCTTTTGCAAATTTCTTTCTTACAATATTGCAGCTTAAAATTAAAGGTCTGTACTCTAGCAAACCTTCCTGCTGCTGAATGATCCAGGGAGCTTTCTCTGAAAGTGGATTACACCAAACAGGGTCTCTCAAAATTGTCTACTTCTCACTCTTTACTTCAGCAACAAACACTGATAATTTTTGAGGCACAAGGAAGACTAATATGTGCCTAGCAGTCCTGGTCAGAAACAATTCTTTTCCTGCACACCTGAGTTGCACATGAAAGCAGACAGGTGGCTAAAACTTTTCTCAGAGTTAGCTAGATGGAGACAGACCTCTTACGAGTTAAAGGGCAGAAATGTTGTGCTGTAGCTAGCTAGCATAAGGAAAGTTGTTCTATTTGCATTACTGCAGAAAGAAGAAAAAAATGATAATTGAAGAAAAATTTTGATGATGTGGTTCTCTTAGTAAATTGGGAACAATGACCCTTGAAGGACCATAAAGAAAGTGAATGTCAAGATAATTTATTATTGTTACATTATCTACCTCATTTTTCACTTTGTCTTACCAAGTTGTTATATCCCTTACAAGGTAATGCCCCAAACATTAATGAGCACCTTTTTATCTTTCATGGGTGTGAAAAAGTGACAAACAGCTTTGAAAAAGGAGTATTTTCTACCAGCTTTATGTGTCCCTAATTGTTTTGACACCAAAAATGAAGTATTTATTTGATGTGGAATGTGTATTTGGTTAGTAAAGCAAGCCACAGTCTAGGGTAGCTGTAAACATGTGAAGCTTCCGGACACTCTCTGAAGTAGCATTTGAAGGAGCAACTCTCCTAGTTCAGAGAGCCAATGGAGAAGGGGAAAAAAGAATGGTTGACATGGCTAATTGGTTTGTTGTTGCCTTGTTTTGTTTCATTCTGCCTTGTCCTCCAGGAGAGCCAGTTTCTATGCCTGCCGCCTTGACAAGAACTTGTATGTAATCGGTGGAAGAAATGAAACTGGCTACTTGTCCAGCGTTGAGTGCTACAATCTGGAGACAAATGAGTGGCGTTACGTGTCTTCATTACCACAACCTTTGGCAGCTCATGCAGGAGCCGTTCACAATGGCAAGATATATATTTCAGGCCAGTGTCTTGTGTAATTCCTGCTACATAACAAAAATCCCAACCCAAAACCACTATAAAAAAACCTAAATCCAGAACCCAAAACCAGAGAGCTCAATTCCTG